GAGAGTGCACCCCCAAGAGGACCTTGACCCTGCGATCCACCTCCAATTTTAGCCAGCCCTAGATCATGGTACATGGGTGCCCAGGGTACTCAGGGAGGTCTCCGAATGTGAACCTAGAACCTTCCCATGTAGGTCAGCCTCATAAGCTCATGTCTGTCTTCTATGCCACCAACGGGGCATCTCCATTATTTTTAAGAACAGAGATTTGGCTCAGGCAGTAGGGACCCTGCTGCGCAGTTCTGGAGACCAATGAGGAGGTGGCATGTTCATGTCCCTGAGCTAGCTGAACATGCCTGATGCGCAGTGATGCTGCTGACCGCCTGCAAGACTCAGGGGAGGATTGCATGTGAAGACCCTTTTAGGGGTAACGCACCTCCCAACCCACCTCGGTCTCTCTCTTAAAGGAAATATATAAATAAACTTTCAAAAAAGAAAACAGAAATTGGCAACCTGTAGCCTGCTGGCCAGATGCAGCCTACCATCTGTTTGTGTGCTTTTGGAAATATTCTTAATGGACTTAAAGTTATTGTGTGTATTTGTGGGGTACAGTGTGATAATTCAATACATGTATACAATATGTAATGGTCAAGTCAGGGTAATTAGCTTCTCCATCACCTCAGAGTATTTTAGGGTATTTGAAACAGCAAGTTTCAGTGGCCAGGGTATGGCAAACTTAGGGTTGGAAATAGGGCCTCAGAGCAGGGGTTTTCTGAGGACATAGATCTCACAGAACATCAGGGACCGGAGGAAACCGAAGACTACCTTGTCTATGGCTCCTGGATTGGAGGCAGGGAGCAGGCCAGAGCACTACTTCTATCTTCCATGCCTCCCCTTTTCCCTGACCTCCATTTTACCTTTCTTTGTTGTTTATAGCTTTCAAGAGAAGTTTATTTGGAGAAAGGATTCTGTGGCCAAGGAAAAATCACAAGGAGTGTGAGTGGAGAGGGGAGGGACACACAGATATTGTCTAAGTCTTTATTTTACAAATGGGAAAATGTAGGATCAGAGAGGATAAGACTCTTGTCTGTGCCCCAAGGCATGACCCAGGAAAAGAGAAGAGCTGAAGACCAAGTTCCTAAGAAAAGAAGAAGTCTACAGAGAGAGCGTCACAAGATGAATTACCTCAGGAGTCTGAGATTGTGTCATGTCAGAAAAGCTCTAGAGACTTGAGTCTCTTTTCCTTCATGAGAGGATGAGAATAAAACACCAGCCCCTCAGTCTGACTCCCAGAAAGAACAACTTTGGACCGATATGAGCAATAACTCCAGCAGTGTCATTGCCCTGGCCATGCTGAGCCCCACAGGAAATCTCCGAATTTCTCAGCAGGACAAGGCCCTACAACTATGCCACTGCACCCAGAGCCTTGTGGTTTGTTGTCACTAGACAATTTCCCAGGGAAAGGGTTCAGAGGGAAATTGCTCAGCAAGAGGGATGCTGTAGCTAGGTCAGCAAATGCTCTCCCAGGCCTGCTGGTGGAAGGCGTGGGTTCCGAATGCCTCCTGGAAAAGCAGTTGCTGATCCAAGCAGCTTACTCCAGCCCTGGATATCAGAGCATTTTTCAAGGATTTCAGACTCCAGAACATGGGAAGTGGGGATAATTTGTTTTACCATTTTACAAGTTGGCCTGGTAAAACATAGGTCTTACCCTTAGTACCTGTTCTGTCTGTGACCAAGGTTTTGATGACCCATCTAGGTCTTTGAGGTTTGAATTGTAAATCTGTGTATATTCAGAGGTAGAGGCTTTTAAGGGCAGTGCCAAACCAGAAAACCACCTTGAAGGAAAATGATCAGTATCATACCCTTGCTTACTTTGGTAGATGTTCATTTATTCAAGCTGGAAGGGAAAACTAAAAATGAGCAGAGAGTATACACAAGTAAATTAATAAGGCATCGTTTCCCACAATAACTATACTTTATTCAAATGTCAAATTCCTTTTATGTACTAGTCATTCTTCTAGACACTAGCACTGTTATCAGGGGACAGGACAAAGTCCTGTACTCGTGGAACCTTTCCTTCTTATAGGTAGGCCAGAGGATTACTGTTTCAGGTGGTGATCAATGCTATAGAGAGGAATCAGCTTAAGAATAGGGAGCATAAGGTAGCATGTGGTCAGGAGGCCTGGTTAGGTAAGGAAAGGTCAGAAGAGGAGCCCACTGGTGATGTGGAGGTTAAGGCTCTGGATCCCACATGGTACAGTTCAAATTTGAACCTGGCAATTTGAAAAACACACCAGGTGCATGTGTATGTGTGCCTAGAATCCCCAAAGGAGAATGGAGGAGAAGGGATTACAGTGTGGTCATCACCCCCAGGGGATGCTTTCCCACTTTCTCTCTGTCTCCTGTGAGCACATATGTATGCCCTCTTGCAAAAATTAAAAAATGAAAATAAAAAAAGGCTTGAGGGGAGGAAGGAAGCAAGTAATATGGATCTCTAGGGCAGAAAATCTCTGGATCCTACATGGCCGACTGTGCAGTTCAAGTCACAGGGCAGAGCCATCATGCATGGGATTAGTGCCCTTCCAGAGGAGCACAGCATAGCTTGACAGAGGGATGTTCCCCAGAGACAATCTATCCCAAGGCTCCTCTGCATCCAGGAGATACTGTCTTGCATAACTCTGACCACATTGACTTGCAGAGGCTCAGGTAAGTGTCCCTAAAAGTTTATATGCTGGGATCATATTTAACCCAAAAATAACCATGGTAGAATTTACCCAAATATGAATTAGACTGTCAAAGAAGATGAAGAAAATTAATGAACTAATGATTAGGTTAAACCTCTTCTTCCTTTACCCCTCTAAACTATTAAAACTTACTCCTAAAACAATTAGTCATGTGTTAGCAGATGGCTTGATGGTTAAGGTGCTGGATTCGCACATGGCTGACTGTGGTCTGAGTCTGGACCTGATGGCTTGTGAAACGTGCTGAGTGCACTGTATACGTGTGTGCCCAAAATTCTGAGAGGAGAATGGAGGAGAAGGGACTGTGGCATGGCCATACCCCCAGGGGATGATTTCTCAACTTTCCCCCTCTCTGTGTCTCTGGTGAGTTCATACATCCTATGGCAAAACAAAACAAAACTATTAGTCAAACAAAAAAGTCTATGGATCCCATTTTCCCCCATTTTTAGAAATGAAACTCATTTGTCCTCTACCATGTGAGAACACAGGTATAAAAGTGCCATCTACACACCAGAAAGTGGGTTCTTGCCAGACACTGAATCTCTCTTGATTTTGGACTTTTCAGCCTCCAGAACTGTATTAAACTTATGTTGTTTACAAGCTACCCAGTGCACTACATTTTGTTATGGCAGCCCAGACAGACTTAAAAGAAAAAGACTTTTTACTTTTCATTCTGAGTAAGATAGGAAGCCATCAGAGCACTAAAGTGTTCAGAGATGACTCTGGCCACTGTGGAGAAGAAATTGAAAGAGGAAAGGTCAAGGATAGAAGAAATGAGACCCCTTAGAGGCTATTCATTTAGGACAGATTGTGGATACATTTTGAGACAGTGCTAACAAGTTTTGTTTGGCCAGATGTTGGGTGTGAAAAAAGGAAGATTCAGGGATGATACAAATTGTTGTCTTAAGCAGTCATGGGATAGAGCTGTCATTAATAGAAATGAGGAAGACTGGGGTCCCTAGACTTTCTGCTTTGACTAATAGGAAGAAAAGGTTTGACTTAATCATTGGTTCCTTAATTTTTCTTTACCCTGACAGCCTAATTTGTATTTGGCTCAGTTCTACCATGGTTATTTTGGGAATAAGTATGATCCTGACATATAACAAAGGACTAATGAAATTTCATGGGAAAATGAAATTAAAATATAAGTTTATTTTGGTGGAAAAAATTTTCTAAATCCAGGGCCAGCTAGTGGCTTGGTGGTTAAGGCAGCTGGATTACACATGACTGACTTGGTAATTCGTGTCTTAGACCTAGCAGCTTGAAAAACATCAGGCGTGTGTGTCAGAATCCTAAGAGAAGGGATTTCAGTAAGGCCATTTCCCCCTGGGAAGTACTTTCTCACCTCTGTCTCTTTTCAGCACACATACTCTATAGCAAAACGGAAAAAAAAATAAAGGAAAAAAGAAATTTCAAAATCCAGGCATGGTTTTCCATAATGTCCACTTTCCATGAACTTCTTAAAGACCCCCTCCCTCAAACTTTTAGGGGCACTTACCTAGACCCTGTAATTCAGCGGTCAGAATTATAGTAGGATAGAGTCCTTTGTGTCCAGAAAAGCCTGGAGATAGATGTCTTCAGGGACATTCCTTATTTCAGGTACTGTGTTGATTTCCTAGCTACATAAAACTACCACACTGGGTGACTTACAACAGCAGAAGTCCAAAATCAAGGTGTTACAAAGCCATGCTCCCTCCGAATGCTCTAGGGAAGAATCTTTCCTTGCCTCTTCTGGCTTCTAGTGATTGCAAACCATCTTTGACATTCCCAGTTTGAAAAAGCCCCATCACTCTGATCTCTGCCTCCATCACCACCTGGTGATCTCCCTCTGTGTCCTGTGTGTCTTCACATGGCCTTCCTGTGGGGACACTCATCATCAGATTTAGGGCCCACTCTGATCCAGTGTGACTTCATCTTAACTTGAGTACATCTGTCTAGACTCTGTTCCCAAATAAGGTCACATTCACAGGTACCAGGAATTAGAACTCTAACCTACCTTTTTATGAGATACAATCCAACTCACAGTAGGTTTAGACGTGCTTGGGGATGAGACAGGAACTATTGAAAAATGGTTAGAAAACAGGTCCCACTATGGTAAGGGTCTCCCTTCTGTAGGAATTAACTTTTTTAAGAGAAATGTTCATTCAGTTTGTTTAAATTAATGAAAGATTTAAAGGTGGGTTAAGCTCATTTACATTATTTTTAAAAACTTGACAACTTAGATAATCTGTGATAGTAAAATTTATGAAAGTAGAAAAAAGAAGGAAGAGATGTTAATGAAATGAATTCCTAAAGGTGAAAATCACAACCTGTACTTGGCAGAGGCCTGGCAGCAAAGCTCATGCTGATGTTCCGGGGTTATGGCTTTCCGGCTGTGGCAGAGTGAGTTGGCAGAGAGGGTACATCAGGCCTGGTCCCTGTGCACTGGTGAGTCACTGCAGGGGAGAACCCTGCTGCTCTGCTCGCCTTTACCGTGGCTTCCTGTGGGTGCTCAGCTGGTGCATGGCGCCCACTAGTGACTGCCCCCTTCTGTGCAACACCCAGTGCAGAGGCTGGTGTTCTTCAAAGGTATGTCAGGAATTAGTAGTAGTTACCTTTTCTTTTCTACTCAAGTCTAAGGGTTGTTTATCAATGGAAGTTTAAGTTCCCACTTGGCTTTCACAGTGATAGAACTGGATCAGGTTTAGCAGTGTGGTGAAACAGAATTCCTTAGCAACAATGTGCGTGTATGCTATTTCATTGTTACCATGGTCACTGTGAGTTTTAATGGGACTCCTGTGGTGGTGTGTAGGGAATTGTGTGCAGGTTGGATGGATGGGAGATAAGAAGAGGGCTCTTTCTAGGCTTAAGGAAATTCGAAGTTAGGATGAAATCAGAGGTTCACAAAGGAATCCATGAAGATTTGTTTGTCATATTTGGTTCCTATAGGTAAAATCCTGTAAATATATCATTTAATAAATATCTGGGCAGAGGGCGGGAGAAGCTAGAGGCAGGAATATATAGAGGTCCAGAGAGCCCTCTACAGGGCATTCATTTCCATCTTCCTGTCTCAGTGGTTGGATCAGTTCCCCGAGAGCTGGTGCCACTTGAAACACAGTGATGAGGGGCCTACCTGCCCTCTGCCCCAACCTCTTCCTGTGAGGGAAGGGGTGGGGTGAGAGAGCAAAGGGCTCCAGCAGCTCAGCCATGTGCCCCCTAGCCACATTCCCCCCTCGGGATAACTTTGAGTATTCCCTCAGGACTTGAATAGCGTTGCTCAGGAGCCTTCATTTTGTGTCTGTTGAGTGGGAACACAGCCACAACTCTGTCCTCAGTGATACAGCCATACTTCTTGGGTGAGCACAGGGCAAATAATGTACAGACATCATTTCCTCTGACTAATCGGTTATAATACTGGTCCAGATGTGGCTTCTGAAAGTTGAGATGTTAGATTTAGGGTCCAGATGGGATAGAAGGGAAACTTCTTTGGGAAACTTCCCAAAGATTTGTTTGATTCAGTGTGCCACGATCCTGGGTTCCTGGCAGGCGGCAGTTTCATTAGAAAAGCAGGTTTCACCCTGACTCATCTGCCGCAGTGAGACGTGCGGCGGACGGCGCGGCGCTCCCAGCAGCCGGTAGTCTGTGCGGCATGCACTGTCCATTCTGCAGCAGTGGTGGCTCCAGGCATCTGGCCCAGGCCCTGGAAAACCTTGAGGGGAGACAGTCTGTAACAGGGCAGGAGCTTTGTCCTGGAATTTCCTGGCCTTTGTCTGGTGTAACTTCATGGACCGAGACGCCTGTTTTTAGAATCTACTTCCTTGTTGGGAACAGTGCTGCTGCCTGGATTCCACAGAGCACTCTGTTTCCGGTACCAAGAGATCCCCCTGCAGCCCTGCATGGGGCAGTGCTGGGGGCAGGTGTATGCACCTGAAAGTTCCTCATCACTGAGCAGCGGTAATTGGGAATAAAAGTTGGATCTGCCAACGTGGCCTGTTGACCCTGGTGCTCAAGCTTGTTTCTTTCTCATATTGCAGCAGAAAAAATCCTACCTGGAACGGAGTGTTAAGGAAGCCGAAGACAATATCCGGGAGATGCTGATGGCCCGAAGGGCACAGTAGGGAATCTCTAGGGGAAGCTTTCCTCTGAGCCCTCCCATTCCTGGCAAGTATAGAAGGGCCTGCTGGTGAAACAGCTCCCCTTCGCCCCAAAGGACACTTTATGTGGATGGACTAGCACCCCCACATTTCCTTCGTCACTTTGAGCCCCTTTTAGGCCCCAGCCCTGTATGTTTTATCTTGGCTCTCCTCCCACCCCTGCCTGGACACTTCTCTCTCGTGGTCTGAGTCCTGAACTCCTAGGAGAGGGCAACTGGGAGCCAGCACAAAGGCATGCTCCACCTAAGCTACTAGACACACTGGTCTGACCAATAAAGGCCCCAGTCTCACTGTGCTATGTCTGCTTTTCTTAAACTGAGGAATAGGAGCAGAGGGCAAGTGGCTGTGTCTGCCTCAGCCCCTCCCCACCTCTCCAGGACTGTGGTCCTACTCCTGTGTTTGATGCCTTCTCCTCCTCAGGGAGTGGGATCTTTTCCCTCTTTCGCCTTTTTTGTATTTTTTACTGACTCTTTCATCGTCCTGAGCCTCTATGTAATGGAGCGAAGGAGAAGGAAGAAGACTTGAATTCAGTTCCACTATAGAAGCCTGCCTAGAGGGCCCTTTCCCCACCTCCTCCCCAACGTTCCAAAGGATGTTCAATAACCAGCAGCACCTTCGAGGCTGTGTCCCTCTGGCCAGTGTCATAAGAAGGATGTTGCCCTCTGAAGCGGCTTAAAGGCTTGGTTAGTGGTGAGCTAGAGCTGGCCTGTCCTGGTTCAGAAAAGCCAAGTATCCCATTTCTAGGAATTTTGTTGTAAGCCAATTGTTAAAAAACAGCCATTATTAAATTAATTGTGTAAGTTACATTAAAATGAAGGTGAGGACCATCAGTTGGCATAATGGCTATGTTGCTCGACTCACATGTAGTCAACCGCGGTTCAAGTCCCAGACCCGGTGACTAAACTCACGCAGGACATGTGTGCATGTGTGCCCAAGATCCCAAGAGGAGAAAGGAGAAGGGATTGCAGTGTGGCCATTCCCTTGGGGGGGGGTGTGTGATTTCTCATGTTCTCTCTCTCCTCTCTCTGTCTTCCTGGTGAGCACACACACCCTATAACAAAAACCTTCCCCCCGCCCCCCCAAAAAAAACGGTGATAAATTTTCAGAGCTCTCTCCTTCCTAATGATTTTACTGCATCTGACCACTCTCTGTGCCCTTAAGGTAAGCGGCCCACTGTCTGGTGGTGGTGCTCGGCTAACCAGCTGCACCTTCAGTGCCATCAGCTTAAAATCAGCCGTAGCATGGTGGGAGCAGCTATACCTCAGAATAGGTGCTATAGAATCAAGGCTTGGCGCCCTTTTTTTGGGGGGTGGGGTGGGAGGGAGGAGAACTGGTAATGCAACATGAATCAGCACACCACTGGCCACTACTGGCAGAGGCAGGCAGGGAGCTATCAGCCCTTGAAGGAAATGAGTACTGCTGTGGCAGTTCAGCGCCACCACATGGCCAGAGTGGAAATGATGGCCTGGATGACTTAATTTTAGGTGAAAGGATGGGGGGGGGGCGCGCCCCTCCCAAAAAAAGCCTCAGATCTGAACCCTTATGACTGCGGGCTCCAAGCTTCCAGAAAGCAGGCCTGGGGCAGCCTGCAGTTCCAAGAGGCCCTTTCCCCTAGGCTCTGGGGTAAAAGTGAAAATGAACCAGACTGCTGAGCCTCCTACCTGAGCCCATCTCTGAGTGGGACTAGAAGGAAGATTGTAGTGTGGCCAGGGGCCCCAAGACCTGCTGGAGGCCTGACCTTGGAACTGTCTTCATTATATGGCACCACACTGCTGGTGTAACAGCCAGAGCAAGTAGGTAAATAGGTTCTTGGTCACGAACAGTGGCCGTTAGTGGAGACACCCACATTTTACAAGCCTTAACAAGCAGGAGAGTAGTTAGAAATGGTAAGAGTCCAGGAAACAGAAGCACAGACCCAGGGCGCCTTTGATCATACTATCTGGAATAATTTATAGACAACTGAGGTTTGAACAAATTTACTGAAACATACAGGTGTTAGCAGAGAAATCATTCAGTGATATGTTACATCTTGCCACCTTGACTGTATAATTTAAAAATTATAAATATATATTTTATAACTAAGCCTTTGGCCAAAAAAATGAATCATTTAGCACATTTGTTAAAGACCAATAAGAAGTGGATTTTGAACATTAAAAAGATCAAGTCATTGAATTAAACAGCAGCAACCCCCCTAATCTAGAATCCCACTGTGTTGAAGGTAGAGGTGTCTGTGCAGAGCTAGTCGATTATTACAGCAATCAGAAGAGATGGGGGCAGGCACACCCATCGGAGGTGGCGGCAGAGCTGGCAGGACAGGAGAGCTGGGCTGGTCAGGTGAGCATGTCCCAGAGACAGCAGCAACAGAGAGCAGTCCAGCAGGCTGTGAGACAGGTGGATGGGCCCAGGTCGTCTCTTCTTTGGTCTTCTACCACGTACACTGGAGGGAGAGAGGGTGAGAATGTACCAGTAGAAGCTGTAGGCTGTACAGAGTTGGCCTCTGGGACCAAAGGAGGGCTTCTGCAGGCAGGGGCCATTCAGCAAACTGGGTGCAGCCTTTTGGCTCCTGCCACTGCTACTGATGGAGGAAGGATGGTTCCACATTGAGTGCCATTCCTCCTCCCACCACTTTCAGACCAAGGACACTCATCCCCACAGGGACAGTACAAGGGGATTCAGAACGGCCCACACCAAAGCAGCCGGAGTTGGCTAACCCTACTAACTTAATAAACCAAGCCTTCACCCTACAGTGGGCTTGGTAACCTGTCACCCAAGAAAAAGAGGAATGAGAATTAAAATCTTAAAAGACTCTAAGCCCTCAAAGAATAACCAGGATCCCTGGTTTTTCATGCTTGAGCAATACACAATTTCAGAAGGTGCCCCAAGCTCTATACTTTGACACAAGTATTAAGGCAGGCAGGGGGAAGGCTGCGGCCAAATGGGAGTGGAGCCTGGTGGGAGCCTGGCACTAAGAATGGAGTTGGGTGCTCTCAGATTAAGTGCTCTGTGAAGACATCTGGTGCTAAATCTACAGGTCTGAAGGGCCCCAACCATGCTTGCTTATCCGCTGACTCGTGTGGTCTGCAGTCACCTCTCCCTATAGGGAAATATTTTATGTAAATGACAGTATCCACTTTTTAAAAATCTCAAAACCAAAGCTCATGAGCAGTGAGGATTTAAAACTTAGTTTCTAAGTTCATGAATGCGTGACTCCTATAAATTTAACCAGTCCTTTAGCAATTTACTCTCAGTTCTATTTTCAGGTTTTTATTTTATTTTTATACCTCCTCTCTTGGCAACTCCTCTCTGGTACTGTAGCTAGAATGCGCTGGATAGTAGGGAGATTTTCTGAGTCCTCCCACTGTGTCAGTTGCCCTCCACTCCACAGAGACACTTCCTTTTCCTTCTCTCATGACACAGGTTTAATCTCAGCCCATTGTCCTTTGGCCCCACTCAGCAACACAGCAGAGATGGCTCTAAGAGATGATCCAGTATTAGGGAAGCCTGGTCAAAGGGGAGGGATGACCTACTTACTCTGAGGCTTCGTCAGGTACGTGACCCAACTACTTTTCATGAAAACCATGATCGTTCCCACTTCACAGGAAAGGAACTTGAGGCTTACAGAGATTACGTCTCTTGTTCAAGCATCCTTGACCCAGCAGGGGCAGGTGCAGGATCTGAAACCCAGGTTTGTTTGCCAAGTCAGTTTTCATGTCTGACTGGGATACAAGGGACCAGAACAGCACAGGGGTGACTAGTTCCTGCACCCAGTCAGAGCCAACCCCACCGAGGCCTGGCCACCCCATCCTGGTCACTGCAGCAGAAAAGTTCTGTAGTCAGCTGCATCTGCACGATGACCTGCTCACATTCCCAGCTCCCTGCCCCAGCCCAACTTTGTAGTGGGCAGCTCTTGGCAGAGAAACCAGACATACCTGGCTGCAGATCCCCTTGAGAAACCCCTTCCCTCTCCTCTCCCTGGCAAGGAACTTGTCTTCTGCCCCTGGGACAGGAGGGGCTTCTTCCCCACCAGCTCCACAGTGGTCTGCCTCATTGACATCCAGGCCTTTCCTGTCACCGAGTCCTGGTCCATGTGGGGCTGCAAGGTCCTGCATGATGGGTACCATTCAATCCCCGTGCCTGCCCTGGGGACGGGCCAGGACACCTGTCTCCTCACTGTTCCCCTCTCTAACCCTGCAGGGCCCAGTTGTGCCTCAGAACCACAACTTTGAGCAGCCTGTCAGGGCTACACATGTGTCCCAGTCTTGCTTCCTTCATTACCCTTCTGTTTGTCCTGTCCTGGCCAGAGCTTATGACACAGCACGTGGTCTGAACCTGGGGAGCCAGTGCCCTTGGTTACTCTAACAGTGCTGGTAGACGTCAGCAGTCATCAGCCGCTACAGGATGCAAACCAGAGGGCTGTGTGGACCAGCAAGAAAACTCTCTTGACCCTTTAATTAGCTGATGACAGATCCTCTACCTGCAAACTGTAGGGAAGAAAAGGGTGGGGCCAGAGTGGGTCTGAAGGTGGGCGTGATCTGCTTTTCAGTCGCCTAAAGTAGGGGTTGACTGGCCCAAGAGAATGCTCTAAGTTCAGCACCTAATGTGGGGCCCAGAACTGGCATATATTGTAACTGTCTTCGTAGATGCCTACCTACCCACAGGACTGGAGGTACTGCATCTTCACTGCTGCCCCAACCTGCATGGCCCATCTGCTCCAGGCCCGTTCCAGGCCCACCCCAGGACCTCACTGCTCCTCACCTGCTCTGCCACCATCCCTAGCCTCCATCCTGGGGGGTAGGGAGTGCTGTCAGTGCCTGATAGCTGCTGGGCTGGGTCCTGGGCCATGATGCCTGGCGTACAGATGCTTACCTGGCAATGCTAGCTACCTAGCAGGAGCTGGGGTAGAAGGTCAACCCAGCTGTTGCACACCAAGGCCAGATGGGCCGACCTGGTAACTGCCGCTCTACTGCCACCAAAAGAGTATATAGAAACTGTACTAGTGCTGCAACTCTAAGTGAAAAATTACTTTAAAATAGGAAAATTTTATAAAGGGGGTTTGGGAAGAAAAATGAGGAAGGTCCAGAGAGAGATGAATGGCTGAGGGCAGCAGGCACTGCCCTTCAGGGCAAGCTCACTGTCAGTGCCCAGCCTGGGAAGAAGTTCCTGCACGGGTAGCTCAGATCAAGTTCCTTTGTGGAAATCAAGTGCCCTCCTGTGGCCAGCCTGGGGACAGGGGCTGAGCTCCCGATGGGTGCAAGAGCCTCAAGGATTGGCTTCCACAAAATGTGTCTGCCAGAAGGCTAACCTACCACTTGTACCTAGCACCTCAGACCACCCTGTTCACCAAGTGTGCAGCCTGTACCCTGGCTCCAGGCAATAAGGGACTAAACAACCTCTCTATTCCCAGGTGACTATAGTTGGGATGAGTCCAAAGGTCCTCACATTGGTTTGTCTCTTGCTCACAATCAGCCCTTTGAACCAGCCCTCAATATTCTCAGCCCCAGCCCAGTGTGGGGCCTTCAAGGGGGCAGGTAACTGGAGCTTTGCCAAGTGGCTGTAAGTGTTAAGCATGTGGGGGGAGGGAGATGAGGGGCATGCAGGGAAGGACCTATGAGCATCCAGGTGTGACCCTAAAGCCCAGATTAGGTCAGAAAGGCCCAGGGATGCCTTTGCCTTGGGTGAAAAACAACTTCGGGGAGAGCACCTACCCACCTTCCTGTCTACCTGCTGGAAGCAAAGGTAATGGATGTTAGCAGGAAT